ACTCCGCTTACCACAGCCATTATGCCGGAGTTACTGGCGCGTTTTTGCGGGGATTTTTGACGGGCCCGCAACACTTACGTTCGATACGTAGACGACATATTTCGTATTGCGGATAATGGGATGTGCGTTGATGATCTATTGACTCACTTTAACTCTTCACGTAGTAACATAACTTTCACTATCAAGCTAGAACATAACGACTCGTAGGCATTTTTAGATGTCCCAATCAGCGGACATCAGACGTGTCATTGTGGAGGAGGGTGCACAGGAAGGAAACCTGGAATGGACAATACATCCATTTCGTTACTTTTGTTTCGATACTGATTACTGGTTGGAAGCAGCAAGAAGAGGTATCTCTGTGTAGCTGCATCTAATGTCACTCAGGGACAAAGACCCGTTATGTTGGGGTGCGCTCGATATATTTTATATCGGCAGTGTTTGTTCAGGAATTTCTTAAATTCCGACACCGACTTTGCCTCAACTACGTGCTGCTTCAGGTCGTTGCATACATTCACCAATCTCCGTTCGAAACAGGCTTGGTGAGAGACCAGCTTCAAATCCGGTACGAAAAGCTTGTACCAGTGTCCTCGTGTGGCACATCGTTTGCATGGATCTGAAGCAAAATCGGCCCCAGTACAGTGCCTTGGGGCACGCAACTGTTCGATAGATACCAGTCGGTCAAATGATTGTCGACGTGGACCCTCCACTTTAGATCAACAAAGAAATTCTTGATCCATCGATGCAGCGAGCCGCCAACACTGCACACCCTCGGCCTATCGAGGAGCACTGCACGGTACACCTTGTCAAAGCTTTACTGAACTCAATGTAAATGATGTCGACCGACTTGCCTTGGTTCAGCACTTGCAACCATTTGTGTTTCGTCAACAGTATGTTGGTGATGCACAAGTGACATTTTACGAAACCATGGTGTATGGGTGTCAAGAGGCTTTTCGACTCGAGAAGCTGCAGAAAACTCTTCTTCACGATCTTCTCGAGCGACCTTACCATAAAAGCGGTCAGGCAGATTGGCTGGTAGTTATCCACTTTGCTTAGGTTACCTTCTCTCGGTTTCGGCTTTACGACAGCATTTCCAATCGCACGGTTATAGTCCAGTGGCTAATGACCTGTTGAGCAGCTCAGATACAGTAGGTGACATGATGGCCGATAGGGATTTGAGGATCAGTTTGTGAATTTCATCTGGCCCTGCAGAGTTCGTCCCGTCAAGGCTTGCTTGAAGCTTGCGTACATCTCCAGTGCTGCAATCTAGGCTGTCTGGTTCAGCGGGAGCGGTACTCGTGGAACTCCTTACAGATACCTGGTCACTTGCAAATACGGAGGCGAAGTGTGCTGCCAATACGGACGCACGATCTGTGCTCGAGGTTCGGGGCTGTCCATCTGGGTCTTCCAACACTGGCCCATTGCCTGCAGGCCTCAGTCGCCGCTTCACGTACGTGAAGATCCACTTGGGACCATTTTTTGCGGCGGTTTTAAGCTGCTCTTCGAAGCTTCTGCCCTTTTTTGTTTTCGTGTTGTTGCAGGGATTTTGCTTTACCTTGTACGCTTTGTAGTCCTCATTAGAGCCGGATAACACGAATTTGTTCCCTAGTCTGCGTCGTCGTCGGTCCAGTTTGCTGTACTACTTGTCGAACCAATGTGGCTTGACTGGCCCAGCTTTCCGATACTTGAGGGGTACAAATCGGGCGCACAACGATTTCACTTCCTGTTTAATTATATTCCAACAGGTTTCAGTAGACGATTCATCTGTTAACGACCAGCCATTTGAGTCGCTGCTCGATAAGTCAAAAAGAAATCTCATCTGTTGCCTAACGGAGAGCGCGAGGAGAATATATACAGAAGATACGCTTTTAGATGAGTTGAGCTTTATCCGAAGCTTATTCGAGTGTAATGGATACCCTGAAAAATTCATCCAGCGAGTGCCCAAACTCAAACAGGTTTCCGCGGAGAAGCGGATGAGATACTTATCGCTACCGTTTACGGGTGACGCGATAGCGGAACGGACCACCCGAAGACTTTCCTTAGCAACAGAGAGAACGTATTTTGCTGCTAATCTGCGCGTAAACTACACCTCAACACCGATTGTATGCCAACAACTTAAAGACAGGATACCTCGGTCACAGACATTCTTGTGTGTACACTTTCTCTTTTTTGTGTCAAGCAAGGTATCTTAGGAAAACGACTAGGTGACTGTCTGTTTGGGCTCGAGATAATTTCCCAGCGTGGCTTCACAGCAGTGTGAGGGAGAATGTCACGAGTGCAGTATTGTCACACTTAGTAGACTTCGATCACCAAATCAATCCGCATGACGCATTCACACTAATCTACTGTGTACCCGGATGTTCCACACAGGCAGTCAGATGTCGTCTGCTGTTGAAGCAGAAGTGATCGCAATTCGGCTACATAATCTGGACCTATGTGCACAGCAAAAAGTCTTCCAAACTGTAACCCTTCCTTGGACATAGACCAACTAACAATGGCAGTCACGCCACTTCACCTGACTTCACATCAACCAGACCAATCACGTAGTCTTATCGATTAGTTACTTTGCTTCAGTGACTCACCGAATTTAACCCCATTGTGTCTATTCTAGCCTGCTTTGTCATAGTTGTATTAGCCTGATGATGAAACCCTGAAAATAAGATTGTTCGCTACTTTCTGTTTCTGATGTCTTCTCCGGGAGTTAGTTCACAATATTTCAGACACAACTGAATCCATATATTTTTAACGCATCAATATTGTCATAACTGTACTGACGATCTGTCTCCGAGTCGGGCACAACCTCTTGCACTTATTATTGTTATTGTTATAATTTCGCTCTTTACCTCACGCCTTCCAGTTCCGCCTCTGCTCATCTGAATCAGAACAAACGTTATCGTTTCGCTACAATTTTCGTGGCCTTACAAACCTACTCTGACCATTACCCGTTTGTATTCATAGTCACACGTACTATACAAGCCTCTAGTTGTATGTCATTGTTAACATCCCCAAATGTAACATCTACCAGAGGCCAGTAACTCTTTCTGTTCAGAACGACCATCGGAGGCAGCTGTTTATGTTCGACCAGCTCAGCTCGATTGATGGTCGAGAGCACAACTGTTGCTCACTGTTTCATTACCACCCACATCAAATGAGACAGCTACTGGTTATTAGGGTGCGACGTTGCCGAAATTCACTTGCAGTTGGCTGTGGTCATAGGTCTCCCATCCGCTACGGTCATACATCCTTCAGGATTACATGTGTTCAATCCCATACCGTTGCGCGCATGTCCATTCGATTGCACTTCCTAGATAAGTATACTCCCCTCGTCCTATGGGTTGGGTTATTTAATTAAAATTCAGACTAACGTCAGCGCAACAATGGTTGGTTACCAGTGTGACTGCTTTTCCTGCGACTTTTTATTTCGACCTAGCTCTACTCGGAGCGAGGCACTTCTGTGCTATCTAGTTTACCTCTTGGGCTACCCCTCTTATGATTGACGCACAACTGTCCCTTTCGGTTATTTGATCCAGTAGCTTTGAAAAACAGTTTCTGATCTGTCGTGTTCTACTCACTCATAACAATCCTCCACTGCTACACATAAGTGTAATTTTTTACTTTCAGGCATTTCAGGGTTTGGAGCTCTAAAAAGTCACTTGGAGGTCTCCGAAGTATTGTATTAACCTGATCCGGATTGCGTGTGACTTAGTTCAGGGACGGTAGTATCTTTTCACGGAGTTGTGACTACAGAAAACATTTCATGGAGTAGCGGTCATGCATTGTTAGAGACTCGATAAAGTGACAGCACAACATTCAGTTATTCTAATGATTACTATAGGCATGTTTGAAGTTGGCAATGCTACATTCCATTGCATCTCGAGAAGTGACACTGTCCCCTCTTGTGACAAAATCTTGTCGTTAGGTTCGAGAGCCCTAACAATTTCATCAAATCTCCGCCACATCTTACATCGGTCATCGCCACCTTCCAAACAGTCGCCTTATCTGCTTCATACAGCATTACGAATAAATGGGAATGTTTCTTCTAATACCCCATCTGATCCATCTGTTTCTCTTATACACTTCGTGACCCTTAGCACTAACCTATCTTTTATGACCCACAGTGTAATCGTACGCAGCTGCAGTTGCTCCAGCTTTGCCTTGATATCTATCGCGAGATGCTTTTTGTGAGATTACGGTGTGTGTTTTGCGGTACCGCTTGAAGAAAATTGATTAATTCGAATTGTGCGGACGACTACGTATTGGGTGAGATTCCACCCGGTTTATCTAAGCTGTAATCCGAATTGTTGTCCCCGTGCACCACCGGGACATTGTCCTACGTTGATAATTTACTCTAGGCCCTAGCCTTGCACCACACATACGAAGTGTGAAAAACAAATTTATCACTTGACGTAATTCAAAAGTCAAATACATCTGACTTCTCTAGTGATTGAAGGGAACTCGGTCTGAAAGCTCTTATCTACACAGCATTACACACAGCTGAAACTCTGCCCGCTTGCAGCGCCGCACTCTACGACTACTTGTGGATTAATCTCAGTTTACTGAAGAGCTTTTTGGTTGTCGAGTGCTATGGCCTCCTTGGCACAGTGCTTTTTATGGATAACAGATACTAGCCACTACCTTTGTTCCTGCGTTACTACGTCGTAATGATTATTTATTGTAGGCATAGAAATAGTGGACAACTTTGGCCTCCTTATTGATGGCGACGACATCAGAATCTTCAGCTTTGAATGTGGTATAACTGACTATTCACAAAAACGGAACTGTTCATCCATAAGTAACTGTGTTCGTCTAACTGCAGTTTTTTCCTGGCAAAAATCAATATCGTTGTTCCTTTCGAGTTTATAATAAAGTATCGAGACAGGCTCCTCATTCTGTGACATATTCACTTGTTTTAATGTTACCTTATAGATACCCCCTTTTCTTTTTCTATCAGACCAAATGAAAGAGCACCTAACTCGTTTGCCTAACTCTTTATATGATTGCAGGACCTTAGTCTTCCCAATAACCGCCAGCGTCGCACTGAATCTTTACGTGCGTGTCTAGACCTTCTTCGCTCGGTTTCTTGTGGCCTGAGGCCCCTATCCACCTCCATGTACTACCATTGTATAGGTAAGTATCCGATTCATCGACTTCTTCACTGTAATTACGATTTCTTTGGTCATTAACAACACTTTAAAATTCATTGTTTGCATGTACCTGTCGATGGTGCTGCCCACTCATTACTCTTCGGACGTCGTGTGTGAAAGGGCTGTTTATTTTTTCTAATTGAGATAAGCACTTTCTAGCTCAGTACTTGTTCCCGTCTAGAGCGAACTCCATATGTGGTATATCGATGCGAAAGTCTTACGCGTGAACTGCTGTACTTCCTCTCAACTGAACGGGGCGCATCAGTGTCGTTACGCGCAGTTACAAAACGAAGACTATCATTCTTTCCCTCATTCAGACAAAAATCGGTTTCTCATCTCACTGCGTTGATCCGCCTTCCACCATTGCTTGGGCGCCGATCAGCAGCCATATATTTTCGTTCACGCTCTTTTTGAGTTTGGTTCTCTTACCCTCCACTCAGGCTTGGTGTTTGCACAATTTTTTAATTAGGCTAGCTCACCCATTATTCATCATTATTGTACACATTAACCGCAGGTGAGTAAAACAGCTATTTTGCCGCAATATATTTAAAAAGAAAAGAAGACATGCAACAGAGGCACGCTGGCTGAGTCACCAGTAACGGATGGACATCGTTCCGGCGAGCCAACAGCCGGCTATTGTACTACAAAAATGAGTTGTATTATGCTTGATAATTGAGATCATGCTTGGAGAGGAAGACTAAGCGGGAGAGAGGAACCAAACTCATAACACAAACGCCATTGAGGTCGGCTCCTAGCCGTGTTAACAAGCGTATTCAGCCAAACGTGTTCATCGTCATTCGGTCCCCAACCAGCGAGCCGAGGGGCCCCAACCGAGCTCAACTTCGAAGTAAGGGCCTTCGTTCCTCTTGACCAATTCATCGCTTGGCCACCTCTTCTCTTCTCCCATCCATCCTTCCGGTTCGCAAACAATGCACGTCAAGGGAGTCGGTTGGCTGTCATGTGCAACACGTGGCCCATCCATCGGAGCCTGGTGCGTGAACTAACGGTGCCGAGCAGTTCGCTTTTTCTTCCTGTGCCATAAACAAGGCGTTGAACATGCTCATTTCTCATCCAGTATACTCGCGTGTATGCTTAACTGTTTTTTTTTGAAATATTGAGTTCCCTGTACTAACTTGAATAGCGCAATAAGAAGACGAATGTTGGAAGATGGTACCATTTCGTGCCCTCTGTTCACTTGCAAACGGACAACATATCAAATGATAACGTGACAAAATAGGAAATCAATAATTAGAAAGCGTGAACTCACATGTAAGCGAAGTAAACGTTGGCTACAGATTGTGGAGAAATGATTAACTCCAAGGGAGTTTGAGCGTAACGAACAGAGGACACGTAATGATACCATCTTGCAACATTCCTCTTCTTATTGTGCTATTCACGTCTTTAATTTCTTTTCTTAACCCCTCACTTCTATTGTATGATCGCCGCACGCAGCAGGCAGATGCATGGGCCATTCGCCACTCGTGCCTACGTAGTTCTTTTGCCTTGGTCTGTCGCACTACTCTCGTTCCCTGTTCTCCCATCTTTCTCCTAATGGACCAAACGAAGGATGTAGAAAAAAGGCCTTTACTTTGACGTCACTTCATCAAACTACCTGATAGATAACGGATACATTTACTTTGACCGTATTCATTTCCTCTTTGTGTGTACAGGCGCTTGTTTTTTCTGCTGGCTGTCATTCATGAAACCTCTGGCTAGGACCGTGGTCTCACAGTGTTGCACTCTACTATCGCCCGGTTGCATTTTGCGCGTTAGAGCGAAGACTGGTTATTCCATATAACTGGACTTACTGAGGCATATATTCTCTGCACTCTTGGGCTCATTCGGATTCAAAGCAATATGGCGAAACAATGGTCTCATCGTGGTTGCAATCCCGAATGTTCTATGTGTCTCTCTTGTCTTCTAGATACTGTATGCATCTGGTCAGCTGGCTTCCAGACTTACTGCTTTGAAAAGTGTTTGAAACCTTATATAGGGTTTCTCAGTTCTTCACTCAACGTCGTCACGCTTATCATCCTCTGCCTCCCTAGCATCCTTTTAGTCCTTTTATAACACGCCGCTCTCCTCTGAACTCATTTTAGGATCTCTCTGTGATGAACTCTGCGAAGAGTTGGTAGTTAATATTTTACGGTTGATCGACCTGACCACCGAAGATTGTGAAGTTCTTGCCAGTCTTCTTCATGAAGTTGAAAAAGAGGTGCGTTAACTTATGCAGCGTCATACTTATGCTCAGCATTTCTCTTCTTACCCTCCCTCACACGTTTTTTCATCCTTATCGTCCTGGTTTGACTTACCTTTTATCCCCATTTCGATGCCCTCTCCCATCATCTTTTGATAGGCGTTCTTCTTTTAGTTTAAACTTACATGTAATCGCAGAGCCTCACCCAGTATTGTCGACCAGCCCATGTTCAACCATGTGGGTAACCTCAGTTCATCCGCTTTTATTTGTAGCCATCGGTTTTCGCTAAGACTGGCATGCTACAGATCGGTCAACAAGCGATACATACCCGCAGATTATAGACTCTATCGGTCGATATCTGTCGCTTACCCGAAACGCACATGCAAGACTCGAGTTCTATACTCACTTTACGGTCACCTTCATATGACACTGGCAGCACCTTCTCATTGCGTTTCTCCGAAGATAATGCAGCTTCGAACATTGATTAAGCTAATGTGGATGTTTTTCTGAGCCCCCGGACTGAAGCTGTTCTTATCGACTGGATTCTAATCGGTAACCGGATGTGCACCGTCAGTGGTTGGCTTGTTCAACGCTTCGAAGGCGTGTGGGGAACTACAGGTGCATGTTTATCATCGCTGCCTGCGCCTTCACAGACCGTAGCCTTGATTTCATGAAAGATGACTTCTATCGTCAACTTGGCGAGCTCCTTCACCACAGCAAAAGTGTAGATACTATGGTGATGGCTGGTAACCTGAACGCTAAATTTGGGAATCGTCCATTGACGTGCTCCATATACACGGCGTGCACGATATAGACTACCGCAATGCAAACAGTGAGCGTTTGCTCTATTTTATGACGATGTTCGTCTATTTCTCGCATCCGTAGAAGTGTGACACGTCCACCAGCCTCGGATCAGCCATTGACGCGAACAGATCATATTGTGATCATTTACATTTAGAGGGGCTTCGTATAAAGCTGTTACTCGACATGCTTGTACGTTTTGATTTCCGAGTTCGCTTCGGTTGACGCCTAAGACTACGTTGTGAGTATATGAACATTTATTGACTCGCGAATCCAAATGTTTCAAATGCGCATCAAATTACTCTGGCATCCGCGCTGAGTAAGCGCTCTTTGAACAGAGTTGAGATCCATGGTCTCGTTTTCACCAGGCGTTATTAGCAGTAGGTATATCCTTTGTGGTGCTTCGGAATGATCGCTGACATTCCGACTGACTCGCAAATGTCTCAGGACAAAATAGCTTGTTACTCTGCAGAGGTACTGCGAAGTTTTGTGGTCTCATCATGCACCGCTGATAGAGACGAACGCTGCCCTTGTGATTATCGCGTTTTTATATCTAACGTGGGAAGCATACGACGAGAAAACTGGTGTTAGCGAAAGTGCATGCGGTGAAGAAAATCAATCTATCCAAAGATTGTTATAACATCTGGAGTGTTTGGCTAAATACTTTGAATGGCAATCAAATCGGTGAGACCTACCTGAGTTTTTAAATTGTATGGGGCCGCAGAATCATTTGAATGTACCTCATGCATGTTTGCCTCTCCTATAGTCAAAAAAAGTCTGAGCAGCGGCGAAAAAATCTCAGTGACGTGCGATACGACCATTACCAATGTGCACAATTTCGAATTTCCATTTCGATGTTGCTGCTTTCCACTGCATACTTCCCGTTATCGCCTCATTTTTTGCATTTTTTGACTCACTAGGCCACACGCGACCTGAGTGCAATCCACACGATGTTGCCCATGTGACTCGCCGCTGAATAAAGTTGTTGTTGTATTCCAGCGTTGGATTCCAGCTACCTGTTGCGGAACTGGTCAGAAATCGACCAAAGGCTTATGAACCTCGCTCGGTTGACTTGCGGATAAGCTAATCAGTCAGAGGCTTAGCGTGGCGTCCTCCAGTCCTTAGGTCAACTTCCAACCTCAAGTACCCTTTGACGAAACCATTGGGTTTTGGCCTTGTTCTGAATGATTTTTACGTCTGTCGGTGTTTTCTTTAACATTTAAACGTGAACGTAAATGACAGCCTCAAATCTTAGGCGGTAATAGTTGAACGGAACCGATATAGGAATATCGAAAGCAACTGCCGTGATTTTTGATGACCATTATATATATATATATATATATATATATATATATATATATATAATATGGATTGTCAGCATCCGTGTGCGGATTTGCCTGTCACTGTGGCCTCCACGAGGACAGCCAGAGGACGCCTGCGCTTACAGAGGGACCATGGGTGGCTTGCGCTGCGCCACCCGCAGTTCCACCCACACACCCCATATTCGATGTAAATCCGAAGCAATAAGACGGAGGCATGCAGATGGGAGCCACGTTTCATCAACCGAGCCGACGAACCTTCAACAAGCATAACAGAAGCATTTCTGCCTACTTAAGAAGTCATGCGTACCAAACGTACACAAACCGATGACTGGGCGGTAGCCCGTTTCACGCAGGATGGAACCACTCTTTGAACCAAGCATCGTTTCGAGGACGGCGCACTTCGCCCTCTCCAGCAACGACCAGTTGTCTCCTAGGCGAGGTGGTGGGTAATAGACAGATAGGCACCTTGTCATCGTTCACATCAGGCGCAACCAGACCGGGGAGCTTAATCAACATCTAACTCTTGAAATGCAAGAATACTCATCACGCAGTCGAACGTACCACACTGGCCATTTTTTGGCCTGGATTAGTAAATCGAATAAGAATGGACGCATCGCGGAAGCGCTATGGTGTGCAATAGTGCCTTCTCTTGCAGCTGGGCAAACGCCCTCTTGATCAGCCCACGGAATTGTCACCGATCACATCTACCTTTGCTTCCCAACAACTGGAAGCAACATTAGTTTGTGCTAAACTCACCTTGTTCATGTCCTGGTAACGTAATTTCGGTTTGCCCCCGTACCGCTTCCCTGCACTAAGTTGGCCGTACAAAAGCTGTATGAGTATCCTAGTCGAATTCATTCGGTATCCATAGATACATGGATTGGCGTCATCCGTGTCCACTGGCAGCTCGAATACAACATATTGACATGCGTTTGTCCAAACATAAGTATGAACTACCACAGACTGGATAGAGACACGTTAAACCTCATGAACAATTGTACTACAAACGTGCACGAGTTTCGTTTGGGGTTAAGGCTAACAGCCATTTTTGCACGCACGGGGATAAGTACCCAATACGAACTGTTGGTGTGTTATTTACCATTTAGACGTGAACGTAAATGACGGCCTCAAATCCTGGGCGGCAATAGTTGTACGAAACCGAAATAGGAATAGGGAAGCAACTGCCATCAGTACCGTTACCAGGCAGAATGATAAGTAAACAAGTGGTACAGTAAAATAGTGTGTATTTAAGTGCTGCCTCCTATATATAAAGTCGGGCTTGAGACGCTGATGGAGAAGTCGTACAGCGTGCGAAGGCGATGCGGTGTTCATTCCGGGTTCTCCTTGTCGCCGACCGCCGCTTATGACTCGACCGGTCCAATCGTCTGCTGTCCGAGGTTCGTGTGGATTGTCAAAAAAAGTAATTTGCTCAACTCTAAACATTGGCAGGTGGCAACATCACGTATTCGCAGCTTATGGCCTCTTTGGCGCGACAGTATTACGTCAACTAAGTCCCGCTGCCCACTGTCAAACTTTCGGCTTTCAAAACAGTGTTCACACTGGTTGTTATCCAAGTACTCAACTGTTGGCACATACAGCTGCTTTAGCCATATGTCATTTGGTAACCATCTGCATCATATTTCTCGAGTGCGGCCATTCGGCGCTCCTAAGCAATTGTCGCTATGCGCCGATTCCTTTCCGAGGTAATATACTAAGACACTGACGTACCATTCCCGTTGGGTTTAAGATTTTACTTAATCCATCCAAAAGAATGGCCTTGTGTAATACAACTTATGGTAGGCGTCTCGCGCTTCCGCTTTACATCCGCTTAGTACATGCATTTTCATAAGCCCCGGTAAATTCAGTATGGCTGATGAACAACTAGAAATATAACTGCTCACTCTCATCACTAACCTGCGGAGTGGAACATGAACTAGCGACGTGATAATCGCTAGTCGGTTAATTGTCGGGATTCTTCACTCGCCACAGAATTTCCAGTTAAATTTCTCTTCTAATACATAGTCCAACGTGGTCACGTGAAGGACAATTGTTGAGCCTTGCATTCCGAATGTCAAACTTGACACTTTATGTGTACTGTAAGCGGGCAAGCGATGATAACCTTTTGATTCACGCGTACCCAGCGAACTGGAAACATAATAATTTGCCACCCTAGCACTGCTCTGTATCAATAACTCAATTCGCTCCGAACTTCCGCGCTCACGCCAACTACGAATGAGCTCATGAATAGATTTAACCTCTATCCTGCGGTGCATCGACTCTCTAAGCGTCGTGCGAGTTAGTATTGGGCAGCTGGTTGATATAGGATGGTGTAATATACCAATCGATTTCAAGGAGCAGAATTTGGTGGCAGCATCGCGTAGTCTAGTGAGCAATACCATAGTGATGTTAGTCGCGGCCGAATAATAATACGAAGAGGAAAATGCCGTAGTTCACTGTCTCGGGATGTCACCGTAGTAGAATCCACTTGATACTGTAGCAAGGGTATCATAGGTCACGATAGGTACAACAGTGAAGTGTGCAACATGTGAAGTAATCGCGAGATACAACCGAGTTAAGTAAACCCAATAAAAGGTAGGTTAGATGTAACTCTCCTGTCTTAACTGACGTAAGAAAGATACTACATTGCACCAAGTTAGTAGCTAATGATTCTCTCGTGAAACTGTACGCAAGCGCGACTTACATTTACAAGAGCATATCGAAGAAGAGATAGATGGAGTAGGCAACTTTTCAAGTACGCGTAAGTCCACTGCTATTCATTAGCTCAGCTAAGTTAGTCAGCGGATGAAGAACGGGAATTATAACTATGCTTACTTTAAGGAAAACGTGAAATCACAGTGGGACAGTGAGGACTTATCGTTGATGTATGCTGAAGATCTCGTCTCCTCTATTAACTGCAGGCTATCCGTGTCGGAAGATAAGCCAGGGTCGGTCGTCTCTTGTCCGGCGTAAGCGATATATATATATATATATATATATATATATATATGTATATATATATATTTATTTATTTATACACTCCCACAAGCAGTGCTTCAATATGACCCTCACCTGAGGTATTATATAATGCGTCCTCTCTTATTTTATTCCTATTTACGACTGTCTACTTGAGGTGTATTGCGGTTTGTCATTGACTGGTATGGTGATCCCACCTTGCGCTCAAAAGATTACGTAGTTGCGCGCCACCGCACAGCGTCTCAAGCCGTGGCTCGACTGATGGTGGCAGCAACGTGCTGCTCGTATTTCTTTCATTTTGTCGTCATGCTAGATGGATCATCCGACAGTTGTTAGAATCCATTTTAGCTCGATTTGTTGGCTATGCTCCTACCACGGTCACGCGTTGGATCCAATTGTATTACTCATGCTACCACGAAATGAATGATCGAATTGGACTGGAATTCGGCCTCATAAATAATGCTGAAACCGCGTCATTCTCGTCAGATGAAAGGCTGGTAAATAGAAGCAGGTATCGAAGGCACCAGGGCCACTGATTTCTTTGCCCCACACTGAACAGTATCTGCGGTTATTTTTGCGATGGATCCCTTGGCCCCCTTCAAGGAGGAAACACTGCGCCATCCTGACCTAGTCTTTCGATCAGTCTCTTTCTTTGTCCGCTCATCGTCTGGCAAACCATTCCTACCTCATCAGGTTCGGTCTTTTTTGATAGTACGCGTTGAAGTAGGTGGTCAACAGTCGGACCTCCACTCAATCTACTGAGTTAACTGTGAAACTATTACGAATGTATAGCACTTGTATGGTCACTTGACTCGTCAGCTTTTCTCTCCAGTTGGTGCATTGGAACACCGACTGAAATTACACGTTCGGTCTTTTTACGCACCAATGGTTCAATTATGGTTATCTTACTATTGATTAGAAGGGTTTTAGTTGTAGTTTTTTATGTTTTCGCCCCAGCAGTTCACAAGCTACATAGCACAGTCTAGTCCGGAAAAGCACCAGACTCGATAAATGTTTTGCTTTTGTTACTCCATCACCTACAGAATGTATGACGAGGTTGGAAATGTTATTACCTTCGGGTGAGGTTCGATGCCCAGTTTGTTGCGACTAATCACGATCGACTTGTGGTATCAATTTCAGCTTAGCTCACAGAAGCGATTTTGTTAGTGATCATATCCGGTTTTTTCATTTTTAACCTTGCATGTCAACTTTATGGGCATTCAGATGTATACTTCAAACTCTGTTCGTAACCTGGTAATCTTAATTGTCTTCGGTAGTAATTCCCTTTTGTCGCATGAGATGAGACAATGGTGATGTACCGTTTGTTATCCGTATTCCCCGTGCGTTTTCTATGCACACTGTTTATGTTTCAGATCGAGGAATTATTCTCCACTTATCCTGACCCGGAGCTCCGAGGCTCTACAACACACCCAGTAAGCACGTTTCTCTGGACCAAGTGGTTCAAGGATTAACCATGTTTGTTCGCAAACTTTCATCACCACCTCCGTTAATGTATGCATTAGCTTGCAATAACGGACTTGACGCGCATGCGAGTGTGTTAACCCCTGAAATTTTGTCATTGCAAAAACTCATTTCACATTAATCTCTGTTGATCATTACGTGTCAACTGTTATTGTTACGAAGTTAAAAATATGGGGAGGAGTGGATAATCCAACTGAGACAACATAAGTTAACTTTGGACAGGGTTACTTTCGCATTTCGTTTCGTTTTATCAACTACTCACCGCTTCGTCGTTTCTCCCACTCCTTATTACTTCAACTTGCGTTGTTCAGCCTCTGGACGAGATTCTCAAACACCGCGTACCTCAGCTTTGCCGTATTCGTGGGATTATCTCCATACTCACTTCGTGCACTTTGGTCGGACTGAAGGAGAGATTGTGGAACCATGGTGAAGGACCGCTTGCTGTGACAGCGCAATTGCGGCCGTCAGAGGTCCGGTCATTGGTTGAGGCCGTATATAGTCAATCAAAACTCCGAGACGAATTCCTAAAGGAATTGCGATGAGAACCTCTATAATTTTATTTCTTTATTCGTTGCCTTCTATTTCAAGAATTATTGTTTCTACGCATTTATCATCTCTTTTTGATCTATTTTCTTGTACTCTAGACGCTTATCTATAACGTAATGGCTTCCGGAGCTCCTTTCGCTACGGCTTGACTGATTTCTTTAAAACAGCTGCACGTAGCACACGGTCTGAGAACAATTCTGCATCATCTTTTAGAACTATTTCGGAATCGGTCAACTCATTTATGTTTGCGCTTGCGCTGATACCACTCTGCTTTTGGAATAATGCACATAGGTTGTGCTTTAGCGTTAATAGCCGTTACTTGTCTTGCGGGAACCCAAGCGTTGCGAAGACTTATTTTACCAAGTATACCATTTCAGTTGATTGCATCCCCAACTGCAATCGCTTTCACTCGTAAGGCAAAAGCTTTCTTCTGTAGCTAGAACATGCACTCTAATAATCATGGATCTTGCATCCAGAAACGCATTGAATGGTTAACTGCTATCAACCAATAGGATTCGGACAATACACCAGCATGGCTGTTCAACCTAGGCCCACCTGCGGCACAGCAATCGCGCCTTCGGGGTATGGGGTAGCAAAAATTGGTTATAACGAAGCTATGCCCACGAAAGGTGAAAGACACACGCGTGGTCGAACTAAAGTGCGTGGTAGTTGAGGCCTTGCTACACACCTTACCCATCGGCTCGTCTCGGTATGTAATGTGTCTGAGCGCGGTAGCGTTGGATAAAAGGGTATGTGAAAGCATGCGCTGGTTCACAAACTGGTCCAAAGTACAAATTCTGGCATCTAAATGCAAGGTGAAGTCAGCACATTTCCAGTGTGAAAACGAGCGCAGACGCGGCAGTGAACATGTCCGGAACACGGGGTTAAACCTGAAATGTGAAAGAAGCTTGATTAAGCTTGTTGTGAATGGGGTCCAAACGATCCCTCAAAGAGGACTCCAGCGTGCAAACTACAGGTCCGTTTGAAGTGAGGTTACAGGTGAGACACCGAGGACCGAAGTGTAACATGGCTTGGTATTCTGAAATGCTCTCTGCAAGCAGCAGATCGGTTACCTCATTTAATCCCACCACAGCCTATTTTGACCAGACTCTCTCACTTGGACGCGCAGCGCAAGTCAGTGTAAGGTTTATGTACCCGAATGGGTGCATTTTCAGCATTGTACATCATCAACTGTAAACGTACCAAACAGGTAGCATCAAAAATGTTAAATTTGCAAATAGGTAGAAAAATGAGTTGGGTGCACTGTTATAACTCGTACTCAAGTTGTCAATAACGTAAGGAAGGAAACGATATCCAGCCCAATGGAATGTCTACAATGTGTTTATTCTTACTTCAGTCGATTAAATATCTCATTGGTGACGTTTTCTCAGTTATAGCTGTACTTAGCATGGAAGACAATTGTATTCCAACCATTAGGCCCCCATACGAATCACGCAAGTCAAATCCGCTCAAGATAAACAGAACAGCTCCAATGTGGAATTATATATCTGCTAAGTTAAGCATGGATAAAGCTATTGCTAGCTATAGCATTTTCACTTTAAATTGGACGTTTTGCAAAACAAAATAAACTTTTTGCAAACCACTTTGGACGCGTTGGATTTTAAGCAGAAAATCAGGAATTTGCTTGCTAGAAATGAAAAGTAAAGTGATTAGACGATGTTCAGACTAAATTGTAGTCATGCTAATGCAACCGAATTGTGTAACCAGCGGCTGCCATAGCAAAATTCACTTGATCGTGAACCTCGATCAATGGCAGTGATTTCTCGTAGTCTGTGTTTCTGACTTTACAACGTGACCGCGTGACGCGCGCTCCTGGATAATTTGTGTTATTTCTCTCTATTCGCCTTCCATTTTGTGCCACGTCTTCGGAATTACACTCAATCGTCTCGGATTGTCGAGACCTATCCAACGGATTCAGTCTTTCTGCAGTACTACTAACGACACACTGGCAAATCCTGAGCACCGTCTTTGACAGATCATTCGGTAAGACCTGCTTGTGAAACTGCGTTGTTTTTTATTTTTCCCACTACATTGGGATACCATTCGACGGAGCTTTTTTAAGGCTACTAGACAACACCTTACTTACTGTAGTGCACCTCTAGATACCACAAATAGAGGCTATTTTGTGATCACGCAATTACCGCTGTAACTCCCTTAGCGCGTTTTGCCACGCAAAGCCTTTGTGATATTCCAATGTCCACTGTTCCTCGCGTGCACATGACGGGCCGACGCAGTCTCAAAGCTACGCCAATGAACAAGAAATTCAAGGTCAATAGTGGTCCAGACACGTCGGTCACCACATGCTTGCTTTGTTCCAATTCCTTCGATGGGGTTACAAAACACTGTATGTCGATCGACGGCTTGTGTGTGTGTGACGCATGTTCAACTAAACCGTTGGCTAGGGTCATTCAAGTGCTTATGGCGAAATGTGAAAGTTTAGCCCTAACGGTCACAGAACTAAAGGAATTGACTACTAGCTTGGTAAAAGAAACACTGAACTTGAGTCGCAGATTAGTGTATTAAGTAGCCCGAATCCCAGACCTGTCAAAAGGCGAGAGCCATTTAGTAAAGAAGCCACACAGTACGGTAAAAATAGCACACCATTGTTGATGGACGCCAGCGAAGATAGGCCTGTCGAACGACCTCCCAAGTTTTGTGAAGTGTCTCAAGGCTTAAACAGCTATGCACAAACTGCACGCTCAACCCTGTCACGGGTTGGACAGCAACATTTGACCCCCACAAACAGCACAACAAACGGCGTTCCGCGTATGCAGCCATGTAGCAGCGCAGGCTCTCCCTGCACAAGGGACAAGATGAGTAGTCAACCTAGACAAATGTCCACCAGTAACAACTCTCAGGATAAGCAGTTAGTGTACAACAAAAACGCTCTGACAATTATGTGTTCAAATGTACCAGAGCCCACGAGCGAGTCACTAAAAGGTAGGCAAGTGGAAGAACAAAACCGCTGGGCAGAGATATGCTGTGCTCTCGAAATTAACGTTCCTGCAACTAGTCTTACGCGCATTTCCCGAAATCCATCCTCGCCGCATTTAGGACAACCTCGGTTATTACGAGTAACATTTGGTAACACACGCGACCTGGAGGATGTGCTCCTGACAGGCCACAAGCTAACAAATTCCTCTCTCAGCGCCCGCATTTTCCCAGATAAACCATGGATAGAAAGGCAAAAATGGAAATCCGACCCAGTCGCGTCACGACATGATGCGACGAAGAAAGTAGTGCTGGTCCACGGTGTTCCAGAACTTAACCATGGCGATATAAATGAACATCAGAAGCACGATATCGAAGAGTGGAGGTACATAACGGAGCTCTACAACATACAAAATATCGTGACTTTCGATGTCACCCGTCTAGCGGCCTCCTTAAACTATCAGGGTAACGGGCCAAAAATTTTGAAAGTCACCGTGGCTACACCTGAGATGGTATCAACGGCCGTCCAAGCGTGGCACGACAACAGAAAACGTGGGCCACCTGAAATACGTTTAAGACCGTTCCTAAACAAAGTACGGGCTACAGATACAGACGAACCGGACTCGGTTGTTCCTAAATCAGGTCAGACAAATGTGCAAACGCCTGTGACAAAAAACGTACGCAGACCGGCACAAGCTGTGCCGGTCAACCACAACGAACCGAGCTCCTAATGTGTCAACAGATACAGTGCTGCTACACAAACGCTCAGGGGCTCAACTCTAAGCTACCTGAATTGCGCCATCGACATAACACAATCAATTGGGATATCATAGCTGTAACTGAAACCTGGCTCTCCAATGACATGCTTGACACGGAAATCGAAATCAGTGATATGTCAGTTATTCGCAATGATCGTCCATCTCGCGGTGGCGGCGTTGCTCTGTACTATCGGAATTGTCTGAGATGTGAGGCTATTAACGAACGTCACCTTGCTGTCTCCGACGCTTTGTTTTGCCGAATGCAGCTAAATTGCCGAGGTGGTGAACCTTCGAAGAAGACGTGGGATGCTTGTCTGTTGGCAGTTGTCTACAGGCCACCGAACTCCACCGCAGACCAAGATGACATCCTGTTAAACGCGCTTCATTATGCAGTTTCTCAAAAGTACTCACATTGTCTAATCATGGGCGATTTTAACGTACCCTCAATTGTCTCAGCGACTTCTAGCGGTCCTTACTTCAAATCAAAGATTCTCGAGTTTATGGATACAGCAGCTCTGTACAACCACGTGCACCGACCAACTAGACACCGCGGTTCAAATAAGCCATCGCTTCTAGATTTAATCCTAACCAACGAAGAGTTGATGATTGAGACAATTTCATACGATCCACCATTAGGCAACAGTGACCACTCAGTGTTGAATTTTGCCTATGTGTGTTACGCCAATACTACTGAAATCAGACATGAAAACCGACGAACTATAACCAACTATTCCGTGCTGCACAGCCTAGCGACAACCGTCAACTGGGACCTCAATCTAGAGAGCACGGCAGACGACGCGTGGAACGAACTAAAAGACAAAATTAGCGGTGTCACGCAAGCAGCGTCAAAAGTCATACCATTACGAGTGCCGCGCCGGACCAACACCTGGATCCGAAGCAGAACGCGTAAATGGATTAGCACCAGAGACGAGATCTGGAGACAATACGCGCTGAACCATTGCGACGCCACCTGGGAGAATTACAAAATAGTGAGGAACTATTGCACATCACTGATTAGAGCCGATAAGTACGAATGGCAAAAAAACATGGTACTTAAATTCACGAACAATACAAAACTGCTGTACAGGTACGTGAACAGCAGAAGAAAAGTTAAAACAGGAATACCACCACTCAAGACGGATGGTGGCCTAACGACTACTGCTGTGGATGCTGCGAACGCATTACTTCTGCAGTTTGGCACAGTGACTGCAAACGCCATAGAACCTTTGCCAAACCAGCATTCACCCAACGTGGTCGGCATATCAACTGTCACTTTTACCTCAGCAGCTGTCGCTAGCAAACTACGGTCTCTAAGAGAAAATAGCGCTCCGGGAGTCGACAAGATCAGACCCAA